CACGTCATTGGACAGTTACCGCCCGCCCAAACTGGGCAGCCCCCAGCCACTAAGGTGCTGTCCCGTCCACGTTATGCTTGTCATTGGGTGCATGAAGCTGAGGGGCGATCCCGGAACAGCGGACCGCCAATAAACGCACCAGCTAACAATACACTGAAGCGAAACCCGAAGGCCTTGCGTGACAGGTCTCTGGAAGTTCTCACACGCATGCTTCGGTCACTTCCTCAACCCACTATTTTGTGGGTTAAACTTTTGGGTCGAAGGCTCCGGATAAGGTTCCTGAAGAAAAAAAAACGCTTTCGTTGGTGTGGGCTACTGCGAAGTATGTCGTGCTCTAAAGTCTTTGGTACCCACTTGGAAAACCTTCCTTCCCATCTGTCCAGTTCTTCTTCTCACTCTCAAATCGTATTTACATCACCCGTGGGATAAACACTCAGCGTGCAACTGGTAAAGTAAAAAAAAAATTAGATTTATGAAATGTCCTTTTCACTTGACCGTATTCAATGCCCGCACACGATCAGATCGGTCAACAAGCTGCCTTAGCTGGAATACTTGAAACCTTCCATTTTGACGTATATTGTGCCTCCGAAACACGCCTACAAGACCGTGCTCCAATCTCATTGTCACGCTTCACTCCCCGTGTGTTAGGCGATTCGTCATCCGAAGCTCGCGGTGCTGCTGGTGTCGGCCTTTCGCTGTCAAGACCGAGAGTTCATGTCTCAACTGGATCCCGGTTATTAGCCGACTTTACGCTGTACGTCTTGACGATTCATTACGGGTCAACAGCTGCAGAATGGAGCGTTGATGCTTATTTATCGTATCGGTGTATGCACCGACTGATTGCAGTTCGCCAGAAATAAAGGATGAATTCTACAAAGACCCTCTCAACTGCTTCAAAGCGCCCTGTCAACGGACATCGTAGTAGTCGCTGGAGACTTCGATGCTCAAGTAGGATACCTGGACGAATCATAAAAGTTTCTTCGCAGACCACATGTAATCCCAGTCAACCGGAAGGGCAACGCAGAACATCTACTTCAGCTCTGCGCTGATCACGGACTGCTCCTGTCAAGCATCAACTTCTCACACAAGAAACGGTACCGCCTTAAATGGAGACCGCCAACCTATTCACAGCGCTTGATTCAAATCGACCACATCGCCACCAGTTACCGATGGCAAGGATCCATTCCAGACAGTCCCTCTTACTGGTCAACACCTGTGGATACAGCCTTGTTGCGAGCTAGATTCTCCCTACGTCTGGTAAACAACCACAGAAGTTACCAGGAACGGATGCCCCAATAATATGTCAGCGATAATTGCAAGTCGGCCCTCAAAGCGGAATTCTCAGATCGCTTTCCAGTTCAATAGACCGCCGAAGGACTCAGCGAACACCGGACGACAATCAAAGAAGCGATCCAAATAGCAATGAAAACGACAGTGAATTCGGGTGCACGACCTTGGTTGCCCTGCTAGACGTTCGCAAAGCCTTTCCTTCGCATTCAAAATACGACAGTGCGCAAATCCCTTAAATGCCAGCTCATCAAGAGTCTGGGGAATGACCGCGAGAAGTGCTGGATAGGAAAGTGTAGAGAGATGGAGAAGGCTGCGGCTATCGATAATAATCGTAATCTTTTTCGCTGAAAAAAAGAAAAAAAACTGAGCGTTAAGTGCATATAGAAAAGAGACAACAATTCCTGTTTGGCGTCAACTCCGGATGTGACGGAAATCAGATGTATGTGGGCGCTCAGCTCGGTTGACGAGACCTAGTTAAAGAGTTCCAGCTTTTACACACCTATTAACCATGCACTTTTCGTGCACGGGTTTCGGTAGCTATCTTTTGGTCGTACTTGTGTAAGAGAGAGAGCAGGATGAAGATTGGAATGTTGAATGCCAAATCAGGCGTAAGATGGAGGATTCATATAGACCGAGGTTACAAGAATAATGAGTAGATGCATGAGCGCCACTGTTTGCGACACCCAGCCATATCACTCAGTGTCTCTAACCATCGGTGACCATGATCTCGGGGTTACCAGTCAGAGAGCCTAACGGGACCTATGTGACTTAGTCTCCTGGTTAGGTTTTCCATTCCCTCATGCCAGGTCGTCGTTTGACTGCCCTTGACCTACGACCAACGAGAGGTCTCAAATCATCTACACGGGTATGGGGCGAGTAGTAGTGTGAAAATCCAACCACCGTGATAGCAATTTTTTTGTTTATCTGTCTCGTGTAGAGAAACCTTCACGCTTTGAAACAAAGAACAAATAACCTGATCAAAACCATGAATTTATACAGACCGAGGTAGATGAATTCTATGCCACCGAAAGCCTCAGTATGGTGGGGGTGAGAGTCTACGGTTGCGGCTGATCACCCTACCCTTGCACCTCGCGAAATGCTCCCATACGAGCAAGCGTCTCTGCCATTCTGCTGAGGAAGCCTTACTTACTGTCTTTCCATTGCGAAGGTGTTTTCCCACAAAAGTGAGAGGACGAAAAGCTAATATGTGGGGCTATAACCGGGTTGGTGGACCACTGGTAGTTCACCTAGAGGAGTTGGCCAAAACCCTGAGTCCAAACCAACCCGGAGGAGACGTACGAACCACACCCACACGTTTTCGATTGTGGCATTGGTCACCGGCACGATTAGGTATCCACGTGTAGAGGGAACCTTGGATGTTTGCTCCCATCCAAAGGGTGTATGATCCGATGAACTGGACACCGGCCCCCAATGGATTGCCGTTTTCATACACCGCCCCGCTGCCTTGCGGTT